ACTATAGCTTTGAACCATAATTGCTTGTAATGAAAAGGGGCAGAAGACCAGTTTGTAAGTGGAAATCTAAAATCAAGTTTATGCTATGAATTATGAAGGCACAAAAATTGATATAAAGAAGTTTTAACAATCATTTAATGAATTTCTTAGCTCTTTCTTATGAATTTTCCTAATTTACATCTTCTAAACAGTTTATTCATGCCACATTGGGCAGCGCAACATGAGACGTTTGGCTTTTTATGGTTTCTTAATTGAAATAATAAGTTTTTACTTTCCTTCTTCCTCAATTACTTTTTAGCATAAGGATGTGCGTCAAACCGGTTGAGAATCACCTCTAGAAAGAGTAACATTAAATTATGTCGTAGTTTGAGTTAAATGGGTAACCAGACCATTTATTAAGTTGTATGTCTAAACTGCTATAAATTCATGATTTACTAGCACAACGCCTTCTAAGAACAATTTTATGTACACTAAATTTTAATAATAGAGTTCTATCAATTTCGTTGTGAATGCTGACTTCATTGAAAAGACGAACTGCAGAAATGAGAAGGCGAGTAGGAATATGTATATGACGATCTGCAACGGAAAAAATATATAAAAAATTAACATACGTAGGTTTTTCTCGAGTAATTGCAAAAAATACAAAAGTTAACTTTTCACCTGTAAAACAGCAATTTCTCTCTCTGTTTCTTTAGGTTGCCAGTCAATATATGGGTGTGAGAAATGTATCACTCGTAGGCAGTATTCTTCATTATCTGGTAACCAGTGACAGTGGCGAGTAATGGATTCTGGAGGCATGTTTCTAGAATATTACACGATTATATGCAAATCTTGCACTAATTCAAGTGCAGATAATCGAAGAGCGTTGAACCCGAAGATTCTATATTTTCTCGAATCTAAAATGCGCTTTTTTTCAAAGAAAAATTGTATGAACGAATGTGTGGCTGCTAAGTAGGTCAGCTTCTCTGCTTTCAAGTTCTTTAGCTACAAAAAGATTTCATATCCACAAAGCTGGTGTAATATGAGAGGAGAGTAAAATGCTCTTTTCAGGCTGAATGGTTCCTAACATACTTAAAGTGAAGTGAAGCAAAGGATGAAGAAAGTATATAAAGGAGTTAAAAGCCTCAGCGGATTTTGGCGTATCTCTTTAAATTCATATTGAGTAGGTTTCAAAACTTATTCACTAGATAGACAAGCCTCTCCCTGGTATCAATAATAAATTCTTAAAAGTTCAAATTTTTAGTCACTTATGAGAATCTCCTTACTTCTGCCATTCGCAATTGCAGAAAAATTTTTCACTGCAAAAGAAATAAGACAAATGAGGCGTGACTTAGACCCGACTGTCTTTTTCTTAGATGCATGCTTTTTCCCGAAATGGGAAATACGATTATAGCCAGAATCAAATCTTTTTTT